CAGTGCTTCTCTTCCTGAGGGATTTTCTGGTGATACTGTATTGCCTTTTAATACCTACAGAATTACCCTATGCTTATAACTGACCATAAATTGTACATGTAGAGAGACACATAAGAGCTTATGACTCAGAACTCATGCTGTGTTACTGATGCAAGCCATAAGTAGTTCCTACCACAGTTAAAGACTTTTCAGATGCAGAGCACAAAGTTGGTAAAATTCTGTTTTAACTACCTAGCATGCTTTCTGTGATCTGCTGAAGAAAGCAAAACATAAATCATGAAATCACATAGCAATTGAAGCATCGCCACACTTCTTAAGTGCTAGCTGTGCTGTGTTACGGGTTCTAACCAAAGCTTCTCAGTTGTGATTTTGCAGTAGAATCACCCAGGACCATGTGAAAGTGTCTGCCCAAAATTTATCTGCTGGAATCATGTTCCCCAGATTTCTTGGGCACAGGTAGAACCACGGGGATGCAATTATTATTAGATGAAGTTATGAAGCTGAGGTCCCCAAAATAGATGGTGTTAAGAAGGAACGTCCTGAGCCAGCACATTTGCTGTGTTTTGCTGTGAGATCCCCTCCACCATGTCATGATGCAGTGACAAGGCCTCTCCAGGTGTCATTATGTTGCCACTGAACTTCCCAGCATTAAGAATTATGGAGGGTTATGTTTCTTCATGCATTACCCGGCCTGTGGTATTCAGATGGAGCAACATAAAAGTGATTAAGACAATTGGCAAGCTGTCCAGCTCACTCATGTCCAGGCTCAAACTCCAAACTGAATCTAGTTATTTCAAGAAATAGCATTTACAGGTCTTGTGTGTGCAAAGGACTGTGCTGAAAGTCTTTGTACATAAAGAAAGCTATGCTTGGTGAAATGATTTTGTGCTAATGTCTCATCACAATTCAGTATTCTACTCAGGTTTTTTTTTTTGCTTGATAAGATAAGATTTTTGCATTTATTCTGAACATGAGCCAAAGACACGGAATTTACATCATAACTAAGAATATGTATGATAATGAAGCACAAGTTTGACAAATAAGCTTATGAAGTATGAAGCACTCTGATATTTTGTTTTCAGTAATTAAAACAACACTGCTCACAAGTGATTAAGACACGGGTATCCCATACTAAAATGTTTGACTTGAAGTTCTGGCTCTACTTCTAATTCCAACCTCCTGTTACGGTGTACCCTGGGAGTTAGAAGGTGATGACTTCAATAGTGGGTTCTTGTTTCACATGTGGGAGGTCTACACTGAGTTCTAGGCTCCTGACCTCAGCCTGACCCAATCCTGGCTGCTGTGGGCATTTGAAAAGTGAAGGAAAACTGTGTCTATTGTTATTTTCCTTTTAACAACATAATAGCCAAACTCAAGTAAATGAATTAATGGTTTGCATTTTGAAGCACTTTTTAAAAAAACAGTATAGATTTCTCTTCTAACATGACAGTATCTTTTCCCTCATCTTTGCCTTCACCTTTTGTTTTCTCACCTGAAAATGCCTTTCTTTTTGTGCACAAAGCAGTAAATCTGTGTTCTCAGTAAAAAGCATTTCAAAGACTACCTCAGTAGTCCTCAGTGTCTCTTATCTTGATGTTTACTTTTAACACATAGAGCCCATCACACTTTTCTTTTTTTGCACTGCATTATAAGATGTATTATGGTGCTTTGTAATTTCCTTCTGTCGTATGTAGTGATGCCTCCTTGACTAAATTAATTTCTTTGAAGACAGAGATCATGCTTTGTGCTTCTGCTTCTCTTCAAAGTGTCTGGCATGAGTTAGGTACATCACAGATGCTAAAAATAGCCATGTGAGCTGAGTTGTCATTTCTTTGTCCTTGAAAAGAGGAGGATGCTTTTGGATATTCTGTTTCAGGTTCATAGCGGTATCTTTTTGTGAAAATTAAGAACTTCTGGGATATGTACAATTGAAGAAAGACAAATAAGGCCTCTTTTTTTGGCAACCTCAAGAAAAGTTCCGAAGTGAGAAAACATGAAACTTTGGCATTCTGATTAGGAAAAGTGTAAACTCTCCCATGTTATCTCTGAAAAGATAAAGAAGTTAACTACTCATGGGTCATTTTTTCAAAGTAAGTTCAGTGATTAAGGAATTTCTATGGATGATTTGAAACTGAATGCAAAAACAATACAAGGCCTAACTATAAATGTGGAGTTAGGGTGTATAGATTCATAGCTGTAATTTAGGGCAAGCCAATGAATACAAGCACGTTTTAGTCACTGTTAGAGTATTGCTAGAGTATCCCATTACATGTCATGAGGGACTTCCCATTAATTGCTAAAGTAACCTACAGCTCTATGACAATCAGCATTCTTATCCTCCTGATCTTGAAACTGTTGGTAAAGGAACCAAAGCAGAAATCAGTCCTCATCTGATTGAGGTGGAGGTGGTGTTGGTGGTGTTGGTGGTTGTGGTGGGGTGTGTGTGTGTGTGTATGTGAAAAGAGGGTTGTAGTGAGCATATGTGAAGTCTCTATACTCAACATTTCTTCCCCTTCTTTGTTAATAACTTGAATGTTGCCCCGGCGGAAATGCTTCCCTTCCAGTTTGCCCATTGGGTTGAGGTATGAACACAGAAGAGGGCACTCAGCTACTTTGACATTTTTCAGGCACAAGCGCAAGACTTCAGCCTGGCAGCATGCATTCCAGGCCCTGATTCCAAGGGATAGTTCAGAGATGATCCACTTGGGCCCAGGGAAACTAGCTGCTTGGCCTTCTCTCCTGCTGAAGAGATCAATTGACAAGGAGGTTGGATGTAATAAGTCTGGAATTATTGTTTTTTTTCCCTGGTTAAGGAAATTAGAACCAGTACAGTGTAGACAAGATTCACACACACCACACACACACACACACACACACATTTTAGAAGATAGTTTTCCATATTTACTCTTGATATCTATTAACAATCTTGCAATAAATTCTAATCCCTTCCATCACAGGTTTAAGTCTTTTTGAGTTGGCTACCTACCACTCTCCTGACTGCTTAGGGGTTTATGTCAGAAAATCACATGTTCATCCTTGCCAACTGCTATCTATCCTCAGGTGTGGTACAACGCCTCCTGCCTTTAGGGAGCTCATGGCTGATTTGTACCATCTGGTAGCAGAAGTTCCTGCAACATTTTGTGCAATCCTTCCCCTCCTTCCCCACAACTTCACCACAAGTTTTTGTTTCATAGATACAGGTGGCAAAAGAGAGAGCAGGAGGCAATTGAATCCTGTCCTAGGCCAGTGTGGCCATGGGGTATCTCTGTGTGACTATGGAAATGTTACTCTTTCCGAGTCTGTTGGTTTTAAGCCCAAGCAGGATCTTTACCCTAAACTGCCTGCCCACCCTTGTCTCAGCCACCTGCAAGCTGGCAACCCCTAGCAGGACACAGATTTGAGTAATGACTGCTCTGCTTCCAATCCAGCTCCATGCTGATGTATCTGGGAAAGCAGTGGAAGATGGCTCAAGTATTTGGGCCCTTGTCACCCAGGTGGGAGACTTTGATAAAGTTCTTGTCTCTTTGCCTTGGCTTGGCATTTACTAACATTATGAGCCATGGCTGGCAGCATCAACTGGGGAGTGAATCAACATCTGAGAATCCGTTCCTCCCTTTTTCTGTCACTCTGCCTTTCAAATAAAATAAAATAAAATGAAATAAAATAAATGTTTAAGTACAAAAAAATAAAAAGCAGGTGGGCAATGGCTGACCAACTGCCATTCTGGACTGATCTGTGCTTTTTTTTAAGATTTATTTGTTTATTTATTTATTATTTTTTTTGGAAAGGCAGAATCACAGAGAGAAGGAAAGACAAATAGAAGGATGTTCAGAACACTGATTCACTCTGCAAGTGGCTTCAAAGGCCAGAGCTAAGCCCATTTGAAACCAGGAGCCAGAAATTTCTTTCAGGTCTCCTGGTTCATGTCCAAGTTTCTCCATTTCCCATTCAGTGGCTTTGGGCCACTGAAAGCAGAGGAGGATAGCCCAATACCTTGGGACCCCGCACCTGCCCATATGGGTTCCCGGCACTTGCAGAATGAGGATTTAGCCACTTGGCTACCACGCAGGGCCTCGTGTTCTACTCAAGCTGAGAAGAGCTGTTGTTGAGGTAAACCTCCTGAGCATTCCCAGGCCTTGGTTCTAGGAATGATCACATGTGGTAATGAGAGCTGGAAAAACATCACCTGCTGCTAGAAAGCAGTTATGTCCCAGGATCATTTAGCTATGAAGAGGTCATCTCTTCTGGTTTCAGTTAAAGCCATTTTCACAGCCAGCTTTGTTAATGATGGTCAGTGTTTTTCCTGGAGTTCAGTTAGACCAACTTGGTCTAGTCCTGGTTGATGAAGGTCAATGGCCCTGGATACTCACCTGGAGGCCAGTGGGCAGTTGCCCATTGGAAGAGAACACAACACCTGGAAGGAAGGGGTCCGCGGGGCCGCGCCTCAGTGACAGCTTCAGGGATCTCTCCAGAGGTCCCAGTTGCTCTGTAGTTATTTCAGACCCCTGAACTCCTGGGTAAGAGCCTCATCACTGTCTTGGGAAGGGCACAGAAAAATGAGGGGAGCAAAAGGCAAGAGTAGCCACTGCAGAGAACGCAGTAACCTGGAGCAGAGAGTAACGAGATTGGGGCACAGTGCAGTGCCCAGGTCCTGGGAACCTCACAAGGAGTCCAACCGCGAGGCCGGCGCCAGGGTCGGGCTCCAGCGCCTTTGCCTAGGCGGAGGGGCGACCCCATCGTGGGTGGAGAGAAGAGGCGGGCATCCCGGGAACAGAGAGGGCGTTGGCTTCCGGGGATCTGTTTCTTCCTCTCTCTCCCCTCACCTCTCCTTTCTCACCTCCGCGCTTAAAAAAAAAAAAAAAAAAAAAAAAAAAAACAGAAAACAACAAACCGGAGCCGGCGCCTTTAAGAGGGAGCGTCGGTTCCCCGGGGGCGGGAACCCCTCGGCAGCTCCGCGGCGCGGGCGCTCGGCCCCGGTGCTCCTCACTTTGGGCTCCAGCTCCTGCCTGCGCCTTGGCCGCTGCGATCGCCGCCCCCTCCTCTCCCTCCGCCCCCGCCGCCGCCGCCTGGAAGCTTTATTCTGGGCCGTGGAGGAGAGAAGTGCTATGTCAGGAAAGTTCCGGGAGGAACTGGCTGGGGCCATGCTCCCTGCTCTCCTCCTGCGGTGCCTGCGCGCTGCCCTTTGTATGAGGTGAGTCTGGGCTGCGCTGCCCCCGGGACAGGTAGGCGGCCCGGGCGGGGACGCCTGCATCGGCCGCGTGGGGAAGGAAGAGTGTGCGGTTGGGCGGAGTGCACGAGCACAACGAGGCGGGCGAGGCTGAAGTTGGGAAGCAGAAGCTGGGGTTTTCGGAGAGGCTTGTGCAGCTGGAGTGGAAGTGGGGTTTCAGCAGCCGGCGCCGCACGCGGAGGGGCCCGGCGGGCACTGGGTCTCTCCGGGGCCGCCGCCCCTGCCCCTTTCCAAGCCCCCTGCCCCGGCGCCGAAGCGGTTGGGCCTTCTAGGAAAGCGTCTGTCTTCCCGCCCGCTGTGCTCCGGGCCAAGCACGGTGCAGGGGGAGAGAGGACCGGGCTGCAGCCTCCTCAACTTCCCCTCTGGGGTCTCGTCGTTCCCCAGGGCCCGGCTGGTTGCCGGGGAAAGAAGGCTGGGTGCGAGCGCCTGCTGTTCCGAGGGGGTCTGCGCTGGTGGCGCGGCACCGGAGCTGCTCAGCTTGGCCGGGGTGTTACTTCTCCCTTGTCCTGCCGTTTTTCTCTTCTTTCCTTGAGAGAGGGAGAGTATATATCGTGGAGGCCCTTGATGCTGAAATATCCCAGCTCCCAAGAATATAGCTTTATAAAAATTCTACCCATACTGGATCACGTTTTCAAAGTGATCGTTGAGTCTTTGATGAAATATTTCAACACTTAGGAGATCCAGGTATCCCCTCAAGTAGGATGTAGTTAGTTTGCAGTGAAGCAGGACGAGTTCCAGCTGTTTGTAAAAACAGGACTTTCCCTTTGTTTATGGTGGATTTGTTTTCCGTGTCTTAGATTAAGAAGAATCCAACCAATGTTAACAGTAATGTTTCTGAGACTCCTAGGAACCCTGTTGTTGTGTTATCCGACAATGCTCCAGTTTTATCTCCGGATGAGGTATATAATATGTGTAAATACTTGATAAAGCCCAGTATACAACTTCATTAATTTCATAGTTGAGTTTTGTTCATGTGCCCCTCCGGTAAAGGAAGCCCCACCATCTCGCATCCGAAGTTTTTGCCACTCTTGTCTGTCTTCTCCACTCACATTATGGACATTGGGTATCAGCTGCAATTCAAAGGTGCTTATGGAAAGTGCCGGTATTTTGTGAAGCGTTGCATAATCCAAATTTCAGTGCTGGTATTGATGGTCTTGTCCAGACCAGAATGTACAATAAAACAGAAATGGAAGGTTATTTAAAAGAGTGCTATTAAGTGTCGTCTTCGATATGTTCATTATATGGAATATGTTCTTTATATGGGGTATGAGTGAGATCACACCAGACATGTCTAAAATTTTATTAAGGAGTCTTTATTAACCAAGCTTGGTGATAACAGCATACTAAAATAACAAATCACAAGTCCAATCAAAGCAATATACAGGGACCATGCTAACAGAAAATACCAAAATAACAGATCACAAGTCCAATCAAAGCAGTATATGGGGACCATGCTCAGGGGATTGCATATCCTGGATCAGCCAAGAGTCAAGGTGGCAGAGTAACCGAAACACCTGACCAGAAAGAGTGAGCCCCAGCTTTATGGGCCTTTTAAAGGGGCTTGTGAGGGGAGTGGTTACACAACAATGCAATACTGTTCCCTCTCAGTTGATAGGTGAGTCACAGGTGGGCAGGAGCCAATACCTAAGTGTTGTGAGTTAATTGGCGCTCATTGGGATGAGCAGGAACAGGAACTGGGCTTGTAGCTAAAAAAGACTAATTGGACTCATCTGCATCCAACATCCCAGCCGAATTAGGATTTTGGGGGAAGAATATACAAGGAGAGGTGAAGGAGCAATCACTGGCTGCACTCCGTAACAATAGTGTAGAACATGTCTTATTTGCAGTGGGCAAGTTTTGAAGGAGAATCATTTCAGAGTAACCATTAATATGGTAAAGTTTTGTTTGGGATATTAATTTTCATACTTGAGTGCATCTTTGCTAATATGCTGCCACATATACAAGAACGGAAACTTAAAAAGGAACTCATCATCTCTGGCAGTTTCTGAGAATTTTCAACAAATTGAATAATTTTTGGAGAAAAATTGCATAACTTGTGTACTTTTTAATTATTAATTTAGTTTATTTTTGGTGATGTTTACCTAGTTGAGATGGATGTATGTGCATGTGGATCACTGATTAGGGTCAAGGAAAGGGGAAAGTGGGTGAGATAATTACTTCCAATTTTTGTTTTTCTTCCTGCATTGGGAGAAGGGGAGGGGAGGGAAAGGCTGCTGCATCAGGACCTGGGGATGGGGGACAGCTACTTGATGTCATTACAGGGTCTCCAGTGTGGAGCATGTTCCAAGGATCAAGGATATACAGCTTAAGTAGTTTCAGTAATTCTGAGATGCTTTTTTCTTTTTTTTGCTCCAAGATTGAGAAAATTCTTCTGAGGTCCGTTGGATGACATAGTCCACCTTAAGAGTCTCTACTTGTCCAAGTGCTTGCTCTTAAAGTTTTGCCAAGATTATTGTCTAATTTGTTCTGCCTCCATTCTCTGCCTGGTACTGGATGTCCTCTGCAGGCCTCAGTGAGCTGTCATGTTCCTCATGTGCATCTGGGTGTGCTATTCACTGCATCGGCTTCAGCAACTGAGGAAACCCAGTTCTGACACATGCACTCTATGGTCAGACCACAGATCCTGTGATTTTTCACTGTGGTTGGAGTATTGAGTCTAGTTCACAAAAACCTCACCTGACATGACTTCAGACTTGACTACTATGTGTGCCAGCCAGGGTGGGATCTGGCTTTTCCATCACTCACACTGGGCTGCACACACTGGTGGTTGCAGTTGCTGGATCAGCTCTGTCTGCAGCCCCATCTCGTATGCAAACCAACAGATGCTGCAGCCCAGTTTAACTCTGCCCACCTCATGTGCAGCCCTCACATGGGAGCTGCAATCTAGTTGGAACGATGTCCAGTAACTCCTACCACACCTGCCCCCATCCCAGTTCCTGCTCATGCTGGTATGTACAGCAGACTGATCTGCTCTGTCAGGCATTCATTTGTCTCTCATACTTGGCAGTGGATGCTGCAACCTAACCCAACCAGACTGACTCCACTATCCAGCCCATACTTACGTTAGCAGGTGATACTGCATGTCCAGCCAGGCCTACCCTCAGCCCTGGTTCTCATGATCACCCGTGAGAGCTGCAGCCCATCAGAAGGGTGCCCAGAATTTTTCTACTAGGCCCACTCCCAGCCCTGGATCTTGCACTTTTCAGGTGGTACTGCAGTCTAGCCTGACAGGATTTGCCCCTGCCCAGGCACTTGCCAACTGATGCTGTGGCAAAACCCAACCAGCCTGCATTTGTCTGCATGAACTGCATGCAGTGGCATCCTTGTGCAGGGGCCATGCTAATCTTCTCTGTATCGTTCCAGTTTTAGTATATGTGCTGCCGAAGCGAGCACAACATGCACTGGATATTGTTGCCTAACTCAGCCTGGATTTCTGCCTAACTCAACTCATATGCAGGCAAATGGATTTTGTAGCTGGGCCCAGCATGATCTGTCCCAAGTCCCAGTTCTCAGCTCACCAGTGGGAGCAGTGGCCCAGCAGGGGATCCCCTGCAGGTTGCCTACCAGGCTCACCACCCCACCTAGGGTCTCATTTGTGCCGGTGGGTGCCATGGTCTGGTCTCGCATGTTTTGCCTCATCTTGGCATTCACAGGTGGGTGTTACAGCCTAACAGGTACCTTAGGTTGGCCTGGCCTGGACTGGTGTGCCCCCCAGTTCCAGTTGGTGGGTGCTGCAGCCTAGCCTAGCCCTGCCAATCCCCAGTCCCAATCCTAATGTGAATTGACTGGTATTGCATCGCAATCTGGCCTATCCCACACCCTGTTCTGGTTCTTATGTCTGCCAGTGGGTTCTATGAACTGGTCGGTCCAGCCCACCCTCCAGACCTGACCTACACATATGTATGCTGGTGTGTACTGTAACCTAGCCTGATCTGGGTTACCCCCAGTCTTGGTTCTGGTGCTCACCTGCAGGAACTGCATCCTGACATGAGTGCCCCAAGCTCCTGCATCAGGCCACATTGCAGTCACAAATCTTGTGCACACCGGTAGGTTCTTGGCCTGCATTGCAGCTGGTACAGAGGCCTTGTTTGAATGGCCCATGGCCATGCGGTTCTTATATTCAGTGCTACAGCCCAGCCTTGCCTGACCTACCCCCGACCCATCTTTCATATGGTTCACTAAGTGCTGAGATTTAGCTTGGTTTGTCCTATATCCACCCTTGTTTTCACAAGTGCCAGTGGGTGCTAGAGCTTATTGCCACAATCCAGACCCAGTTCACACCCATGCGCAAGGGATACTGCAGTCTTTTTCAGCACAGTTCGCTGTCCTCAATCTGGCTCTTATGTTCACTAGTGGGAACCGTAGCCCAACCAGGGTGTCCCCTTAGCTCCTCAACCAGGCTTGCACCCAGCCACAGATTTTGTGTATACAGGTGGATGCTCTGACCCAGCCTGGCATAGTTTATCCCCAGTGTTGGCCTTTGCCATGGGATGCTGCAGCCTGGCTTGGCCCACCTCCAGTCCCAGCTGTTGCTGATGGGTTCTAAAACTTCATGTATTTTAGGACTGATTGCTAGTTGATGTTTTACCTTAAAGTCACTGAACTCAGTTTAAGAAATGAGGATTTGAGCATCTCAGGTGAATGTAACTTGGTTCTTAGAATAGTATTGGTTGGTGTTGAACAGTTTAAGATCTTGTACATTTGATTTGGAATGATTGCTTTATGAATGATTATTTTTGAAATTTTATATTCACACACATAGAATTATGTATTTATTATCAGTATCTATATCTATCTATCTATATATCCATCCATCCATCCATCCATTCAGCTGTCCCTTACATAGTTCTTCAAGCCATGCATCCATGGCTAGGCCTTGGAACCCGCTGATGAGCCCTGAGGAAAGCTATTATGGACATTGATAACGCACATACTCTAAGAAT